GACACACAGTTACAGCGCAGTGCTCTTGTTCTGGGAGGGCGCCTGTAGACGTCATCCCAGAACACGCCTCCCATACACTCTGTGACCGATGTTTCCTTTGGACACAGCTGATCACAGATCACAGTAAACTGTCAATCACAGCGTCCCTTTACCATGTGGTCAGCTGTGTCCAGCCACAGGTGATCGCATGTAAACAGATTTGTCAGTTATCAGCAGTCTTTTCCTCACATGCTGTGTATGTGTGAGGAAGAGACAGCCAATACCTGGCAAGGCTGTCAGTACTTTGTTTACACTGATCATCTAGGCCCTGATTCAGTGCAGCTCTATCAGTGACACTTATCAGTGCACCAATGAATGATGCATCCCTTACTTTTGTACTAATGTAAACGCAGCATTTAAAACACCTAAGCAGAATAACATGGGATAACACAACTGCATGTGCGATATTAAACTGTAGATATGTAAATAGGCTCCGCTCCAGCAGGGTATCGGGTATCTGACATCATAATTCTTCAAGCAGTCAAAGATTTAAAGCTAAACTCTCTGCACAAAAACTGTCATGTAAATATGGGGTTTATTTACTAAAGCTGGAGGCTTCTGCATAGAGCTATTGTATTCTGACAGTGGGAGATTTTCCAGCCGTCAGAGTATAATGAAAGAAACATTAATCGTAAAAGGTGCTACTCCCACCAATATTCAAAATAACTATGCAATAATCCTAGTACTCACAATAATGTGCAAATATATGGTGCAAAAAAAATCATGAAGTCATTTTTCTACACAATAAAATACAACAAACAGTGTCCATAAAATAAATAGTCCATGCAGTGGCTCCACAAAGAATCTTTGTAAACCGTGTGCCCAAAACCAGTGATGAGTATAAATTGCAATGATGCAATATTCCACAACGTGCGGTAAGATTGCTAATTTACCAGATACTTATCATAATAGGCATATCACAGTGTAAACAACCACCAGAAGGGGGAGGAAGCAGATATCGCCAACATCTTCTTACAAGTACTTGTTAGTGGGATGTGACAATACATGCACTCAGAAACATTTTTGTTATTGTGTAGTAGGTTTATTAAAATTGAAAGAGATAAGTAAAATATTACACTGGCCTGCGGGACTACTACTACAACAGCATGGAATAGATTAGAGCGATGCGCCCCGTCGCTTACCCTGTCTGAGCTGGCGTGCGTTCCATGGACCGGATCCAACCCACTGGAAGTGATGTTCAAAAGGGACAGAAGTGATGACAGCGGCCAGGCCTCAGAATCGCGTCATCAGGAAACCTCATGATTTTTTTGCACCATATAATTGCATATTATTTTGAATACTAGGATTGATGCATAATTATTATTTTTAATATTGGTGGGAGTAGCGCATTTTATGATTAATGTCTTCTAAAGAGTGTTTTTGCACATTTTAAAGGGCTGCTTCTCTTGATTTAAAGTGAGGGTTTTAGGTTGGCGCCCCGTGTTGTTCACTGTAGGAATACAATGGTCACTGCTTGCAGCTATAGTAGCTCGCTATAGTAGTTGGCAGTCATTGAACAAAAAAAACCTGACAGGCTGGTTGTACTGAAGTCAATCAATAGATATCCTATTTAAAAAAAATGCTTAGCATTATGAAGAGCCTCACTAAAGTATGCCACCACGGTTTGCAGGAAAGAAAATCGCTAGTCAGTGTTGATGGGGGAATCCTTCCTGCGGAGCCATTGTGTTCTCCCGTCGGGAGGAGACGTCAACTTGGGTACAATCAGCTTGCCCATACATGGTTCGAATCTCAGGCAGTCCCTGCTGTACTGGCCAAGATTCGAACAGTCTATGGCAGATTAAGTATACATTTACTAGAAGTACGCATATCTTTTTCTTAAATTTTCAGTAACTTGCAGTTATGCGGTCTCTGTTTTATATATATACAGTGGGGATCGAAAGTTTGGGCACCCCAGCTAAAAATGTGTATTAATGTGCATAAAGAAGCCAAAGAAAGATGGAAAAATCTCCAAAAGGCATCAAATTACAGATTAGACATTCTTATAATATGTCAACAAAAGTTAGATTTTATTTCCATCATTTACACTTTCAAAATAACAGAAAACAAAAAAATGGCGTCTGCAAAAGTTTGGGCACCCTGCAGAGTTAATATCTTGTACTGCCCCCTTTGGCAAGTATCACAGCTTGTAAACACTTTTTGTAGCCAGCCAAGAGTCTTTCAATTCCCTTGTTTGAGGTATCTTTGCCCATTCTTCCTTACAAAAGTCTTCCAGTTCTTTGAGATTTCTGGGCTGTCACGCACTGCTCTTTTAAGGTCTATCCATAGATTTTCAATTATGTTGAGGTCAGGAGATTGTGAAGGCCATGGCAAAACCTTTAGTTTACGCCTCTTGATGTAATCCCCCGTGGATTTCGAGGTGTGTTTAGGATCATTATCCATTTGTAGAAGCCATCCTCTCTTTAACTTCAGCTTTTTCACAGATGGCATCAAGTTACCATCCAAAATTTGCTGAAATTTTATTGAATCCATTTTTCCTTCTACTCGTGAGATGTTCCCTGTGCCACTGGCTGCAACACAACCCCAAAGCATGATTGATCCAACCCCATGCTTAACAGTTGGACAGAGGTTCTTTTCATTAAATTCTGTGCCCCTTCTTCTCCAAACATACCTTTGCTCATTCCAGCCAAAAAGTTAAATTTTAACCTCATCGGTCCACAGAACTTGTTTCCAAAATGCATCAGGCTTGTCTATATGTTCATTTGCAAAGTTCAAACGATGATTTTTGTGGTGAGGACGTAGAAGAGGTTTTCTTCTGATGACTCTTCTATGAAGACCATATTTGTACAAGTATCTCTTTATAGTGGAATAGTGTACCACAACTCCAGTGTCTGCCAGATCTTTCTGGAGGGATCGTGCAGTCAAACGTGGGTTTTGAATTGTTTTTCTCACAATCCTGCGAGCTGTTCTGTCTGATATTTTTCTTGGTCTTCCAGATCTTGCTTTAACTTCCACTGTTCCTGATGACTGTCATTTCTTAATTACATTCCGAACAAAGGATATTGACATCTGAAAATGCTTTGCTATCTTCTTATAGCCTTCTCCAGCTTTGTGAGCGTCAACTATTTTCATTTTCAGTTTTCTAGACAACTGCTTAGAACGGGTGTCGGCAACCCGTGGCTCCAGAGCCGCATGCGGCTCTTTTTCACCTTGGCTGCGGCTCCGGAGCACACTGCCCACCAGGTGACAGGCAATAGGGCAGCAATGGGCAAACTACGGCCCGGCGGACCTTTTAATCCGGCCCGCGGAGCTAGGCTCCCGCTAGGCTCCTCTCACAGTCCGCCCTGAAGACCGGTTTAGCATAAAAATCTGTCTCCTATGAGGATCTGTCCCCCTCGACATATCTGCGCATGTGCCGGAGATCGCTGATCGGCTGCTAATGCCTGAAACTGGCACATGTGCAGATACGTCGAGGGGGACAGATCCTCATAGGAGACAGATTTTCATGCTACACCGGAACGGCGCGGGAACATGGCGAGAGGAACGCGCGGAGCAAAGGTAAGTGAATTGACACAGGGGACTTGGGGACTTAATATGGGGGATGAATTAATATGGGGGATGAATTACTATAGGGGGGATGAATTACTATATGGGGGATGAATTACTATGGGGATGAAATACTATATGGGGGATGAATTACTATGGGGGATTAATTACTATATGGGGGATGAATTACTATATGGGGGATGAATTACTATGGGGGGGATGAATTACTATATGGGGGATGAATTACTATGGGGGGTGAATTACTATATGGGGGATGAATTACTATATGGGGGATGAATTATTATGGGGGATGAATTACTATATGGGGGATGAATTATTATGGGGGATGAATTACTATATGGGGGATGTATTTTCAGTTTTAAAAATGTGGCTCTCAAAATAAATTTCAATCGTGGTTTTGGCGAGATTTGGCTCAGTTGAAAAAAAAGGTTGCCCACCACTGACCTAAGGCTATGATTGTGATTATGACGATACACTGTGGCCCTGATTAACCCTTTGCTTACTGGGCCCTTAAACCCCCTTCATGACCAGAGCGCTTTTTGCAATATATGCAGTGTCGGATTTGTTTTAAATGTTGCAATGGTTTTGCGGCTCCCAGTCTTTTTTTCCCTCTCGGAAACGGGTCCAAATGGCTCTTTATGTCTTAAAGGTTGCAGACCCCTGGCTTAGAAGAACCCATGGTGCTGATTGTTGGGGCAAGGTCAGATGAGTCTGGGCATTTAAAACCTTTGAGATTGACATCACCTGGTCTTCCCAGACGATGACTGAGAACAATCCATGACACTGGCAGGTCTCAGCTTTGCAAAGGGGGCAGTGCATGCTATAAATTCTGCAGGGTGCCCAAACTTTTGCAGACGCCATTTTTTTGTTTTCTGTTATTTTGAAAGTGTAAATGATAGAAATAAAATCTAACTTTTGTTGATATATTATAAGAATGTCTAATCTGTAATTTGATGCCTTTTGGAGATTTTTCCATCTTTCCTTGGCTTCTTTATGCACATTAATAAAAAATTTTAGCTGGGGTGCCCAAACTTTTGATCCCCACTGTATATATATATATATATATATATATATATAGTAAGAAACATATGTGATATTGCAAGATGTTCTGGAATCACGGGCTCTACACACAATGCACAGCTGTAATAACGTGTTGAATGAAAGGAAATGACTTTGCATGAATTGCTAGCATAGCAACCAAAGAAGAACAATGCACTGTTATATTGAGATATTGATGATCCTAAAAATTAGTGATGAGCTGCCTATAAATTTTATTTCACAGATAAAATAACATGTCTTCCTTGGAGGGCCAAACACCAGCTTTGGAAATTGATACAGAGCAGACCAAGGTAACTTGTACAAGTCCTGGTAATCCGGTCTTCTCCTGTACAACAAATCCACAGATCTCCTCCAGTAGTGTATTCCAGGCCAAACCAATGAGCATCCTGTTCAAGACAACGTCCAGTGAATATGGCGCTCTCCGTCCCACCTACGAGATGGCTCCATGTTATCACTACCCTGTGTCTCAGAAGTTTTCCGAACACCTGGGTACTTGTGGGATGTACCGAAATAACTCATTAAACACGGCTGTTGATAGGAGCAGAGTAAATGACTGTATCAACCTGCACAACACTTTATAGCCATGTATTGTGGCACAATAATGAGATTGGCGATTGTCAACCTAAATACCAAGGGATTTGAAAAGTAATACCCAAAGAATGACTTCTCTAATAAAACATTTTGCTATATATTTACTAAGTTTGTCATTTTGAATAGAATAGGGAATGGTTAAAGAGATGTCCCTCCATTTCCTGTCCTGTAGACACAACAGAAAATGAGAGGAAATCTCTCTCCAAAGTAAAGTAAATCTCTCATTTGACTTTATACCTTCTATTTCTGTTCTGGTGCCAACTCAAAAAGGTGGATTTTTTCCTCACTTTTATTGCTGTTGATAACAATTAGCAGGACAAACTAATAGGTTGAATCTCCCTAGCCAAAATATTTTGGCTTTAGTTACATTTTAACCACTTCCATACTTTTACCCCCTTCCTGCCCAGGCCATTTTTCAGGTTTCAGTGCTGTCACGCTTTGAATGACAATTGCGCAGTCATACAACACTGTACCCAAACTAAAATTTTATCATTTTCTTCACACAACTAGAGCTTTCTTTTGGTGGTATTTAATCACCACTGGGGGTTTTTTATTTTTTGCTAAATTAACAAAAAAAGACCAAAACTTTTGAAAAAAAAAAAACAAAACACCCTTTTCTTTGTTTCTGTTATAAAAGTTTGCAAATAAATAATTGTTCTTCATAAATTTAGGCCAAGATGTATCTGCTACATTTCTTTGGTGAAAATAACCCAAATTAGTATTTTTTATTTAGTCTGTAGGAAAGTTATAGAGTTCACAAACTATGGGATATATCTGAAAATTGATTAATCCTGAAGTAGTGACAGCCAATATCATTTCTTGAGGCTCAAAAATATGAGAACAGTACAGATAGCCCACAAATGACCCCTTTTGCAAAGTAGACAGTCCAACATATTTTATAAGAGGCATAGCGAGTTTTTTGAAGTTGTACTTTTTTTGTCATAATTTTTCAGAAAATGAAGAAATGAAAATAATGATTTTCACTATTTTTTTTTTTTTTTTACATACGGTCACCAGTGCAGTACAGCATCATCATATAACTGGCATGGCGGTGATCGGGGACACTGACTGTTGACAGTACAAAAAAAAAAATTATAATTTTTTTAAAAAAAATTTTTATTACATTTTTTTCTCTTTTTTAAGATTTTTTTTCATATTGCACCATTACCATAGTAACATTGCACTACTTTGGGGAAGTGATCTGTATTTTTTTTTTTTTACACAATTTGCTTATAGCAAAGAATTACTTTGCTATAAGCAAGCATTTACCTGAATTAAATCGATTCATTCGGGTTTTTTTTTGTGATTAGCTGTGATTTGGCCACGGCTAATCACATGACACAGCTGGGCTGTGATTGGCCCAGCTTGTGCATGTGATCGCTGTGATCATTCACAGCTAGACACTTGTATACAATGGATGGCTTCCTTTCATGCCATCCATTGTATACAACTGTCATGTGACCTGCTGTGATTGGTCACAGCAGGTCACATGGCCACCCCCTCTGCCTCTCCCTACTGGCAAATCGGGGCCAGTACACAGATCTGTCATCGGCCGTGTCCAAGGTACACGCTTGGTGACAGATCTCGCTACTGTGCGGCCCTCCCTTCGGCCATGTGCAATGTGCGTTCCAGAAAGGACGCCATGTGGCGTCCACCCGGAGGGACGAGCTGTTTCGCCCATGGGCCGCCGTCTGGCTATAGGCCGGACGGCAACTGGTTAAGGTATCTATTGAGAAAAAAAATTGCTGTCATGCATAATCCCCATAATGTTTCTAATATGTGAATTTCCTATGATCCTTAGCTCCATCTAGTGACCATAGAGTACTACTTTCCTGAAATACTGCAATCAAGAAAAGACTACATAATGTCCACTAGATGGAGCTGATGATCTTAGGAAATACACGGATTAGACATATTATGGGGATTATTTGCGATGGCTATGCTAATATTCGTCTCACCTGAATTATATGAGAAATAAGATTGAAATATAACAAAAAAAACTGGTGTTTCCGATTGTACCCGGGTAACTACTTTGCACTGGGTTCTACTCTAGAGAAGGGATAGAATTCTACTGCACCTGGTGATGTCTGCACCCACATGGAAGTAGAAAGTAGCTGAATGGATTATGTCCTACTTTGTTCCTTCACCAGCTGGGACTCCCAGAGTGTTTAAAAGAACCAACACCTCTAAGCTACCTTAGGTTGTACACCCCTTGAGGGTAATGCAGGCCATACATGGTTCGAATTCCGAACGATTTTTCGTCCGAAAATCGAAAACATCGTTCGCTTGGTAATCCGATGGTGCCATCAATGATTTTGAAAATCGGCCGACCAAATCATAACGTTCACCCCATATAATAGGCAAAACTTCTGTTCCTTCCAGGTCAAGGCTCATGCGCATATTCTTTTTGGAAAAATGATCATATGATTTGACCACCATTGAGTCGAGAATCGGTAGTTTTTCACAAATTTTCTAACATGCCCGATCACCGAAAAGGGGAGGAACCACGAAAATCGGCCGGTGCCATTGACCCACTAACAGAGCGAAAATCGGCCAATTATTCTTAGGTCCGATTTTCGGATGAAAAATCAGTCGAATTTCAACCCATGTATGGCCGGCCTTAGGGACTGATATGAATGTACAATATATATATGTAAAGCGCTGCGTAAATTGACGGCGCTATATAAGTAACTAAAACAAATAAATAATAAGGTATGTTCCTTGTTGCAAAAACAAAATCTGGATCAGACATATTCATAACGCAGTGAAAATTACATTCACGCTTGGTTCACACTATTATGGGCCACGTGGAAGGTTCACCTGCAGTGAATATATGCTGAATGCCACATTCACTGCTTTATATGCCCTAGTTTAATCTGAACCTGCATTATGAATGCCAAAAATGTCAACTCTGCTCAATTGCAGAAAATAAATTTGCATTTACAGTTGTGTTCAAAATAATAGCAGTGTGTTGGAAAAAGTGAATAAAGCTCAAAATCCTTCTAATAGCTTTTATTTCCATACACACAAATGCATTGGGAACACTACACATTCTATTCCAAATCAAAACATGAAGAAAAAATATATCAAATTTGTGTTGTTCCTCTAAAAAAATTGAAGAAAAGTGAATATTAGACGGTTCAAAAAAATAGCAGTGTTTGTATTCTTCTTTACAAACTCAAACATTCACTATATAAACTGAGAAATGTTTGAAGATTTTGCTTTCCTTTGAATCACTTAATTAATATTTTGTTGTATAAGCACTGTTTCTGAGAACTGCTGTACATCTGTGTTGCATGGAGTCACCCAACTTCTGGCACCTGTGAACAGGTATTCCAGCCCAGGATGATTGGACTACATTCCACAGTTCTTCTCTATTTCTTGGTTTTGCCTCAGAAACTGCGTTTTTGATGTCACCCCACAAGTTTTCTATTGGATTAAGATCCGGGGATTGGGCTGGCCACTCCATAACGTCAATCTTGTTGGTCTGGAACCAAGATGTTGCACGTTTACTGGTGTGTTTGGGGTCGTTGTCTTGTTGGAACACCCATTTCAAGGGCATTTCCTCTTCAGCATAAGGCAGCATGACCTCTTCAAGTATTCTGATGTATTCAAACTGATCCATGATCCCCGGTATGCGATAAATAGGCCCAACACCATAGTATGAGAAACATCCCCATATCATGATGCTTGCGCAACCATGCTTCACTGTCTTCACAGTGTACTGTGGCTTGAATTCAGTGTTTGGGGGTCATCTGACAAACTGTCTCTGGCCATTAGACCCCAAAAAAAAAAAATCTTACTTTGATCAGGCCACAAAATGTTGCACCATTTCTCTTTAGGCCAGTCAATGTGCTCTTTGGCAAATTATAACCTCTTCAGCACGTCTTTTTTTCAACAGTGGGACTTTGCGGGGGCTTCTTGCAGATAGCTTGGCTTCACATAGGCGTCTTCTAATTGTAACAGTACTCACAGGTAACTTTAGATCTTCTTTCATCTTCCTGGAGCTGATTGTTGGCTGAGTCCTTGCCATTTTGGCTATTCTTCTATCCATTCGAATGGTAGTTTTTCGCTTTCTTCCACGTCTTTCAGGTTTTGGTTGCCATTTTACAGCATTTGTGATCATTTTAGCTGAGCAGCCTATCATTTTCTGCACTTCTTTATATGTTTTTCCCCTCTCCAATCAACTTTTTAATCAAGGTACGCCGTTCTTCTGAACAATGTCTGGAACGACCCATTTTTCTCAAAATTTCAGAGAGAGAAATGCACTGTAACCAGCATTTGCTGCCTTCCTTCCTTAAATAAGGGCAATAATTGCCACCTGTTTTTCAAAGAATGAATGACCTCACTAATAGAACTCCACACTGCTATTATTTTGAACATGCCCCTTTCAATTAGTGATTCAATTACACAGAATCAGCAGCATGCATGTCATGACTGTTGGGTCTGTTGGATTGCTATTACTCTACTGCACCTGCTAGTAAATTATTTGCCATGTAGAAATATCATTTCTACCAAAAACAGTGATTGATCAGGTTAGTGATGTCTGACTGCTATTATTTTGAACACAACTGTATAAGGATACAAGGCCTATCAACAAAAATGTCTTTCTTGCATATATTCTCTGCACTTGGCTATTTGTTAATCCCCATAGTTTCCAGTATTTTTTTTTTTTTTTTTAGCTCAGAAGCCTGCAGGCCCATATGTTCAATAGGTACAGGACTGCCATCTTTGCCTACACATCAGAGAGTTCTGAGCTATGCCACCAGGAAGCTGTCACTGAATTGGATTGCAGTGAGGCATTCCCCAACTTGCACATAAACAAGGGTGTGTATACATGTGGCGGAGGGCAGGAATGCCTTGGCTACTTTTGATTGGCAGTGTGTAGTGTCAGCTTCCTGGCAGTCCTATTGGGACAGATGTCTAGATGTGGATGAGAGGCCCCGAACTCAGAAGGTGCATTAGCACATTAGGACCAGTGGCTGTCTGT